GCAATTATATGGGCAGCGGCCATGTAACGCTTTTACAACATACAGAAGTGCGCTGGTTATCAAGGGGCAAAGTATTGACAAGTTTTTTTTAAATTGAGAGACGATCTTAAAGTTTTCTTTACTGACCATTTTCACTTGTCCGACCGGTTGCATGATGATGAGTTTCTCACACGACTGGGTGATGTTTTTTCTCGCCTGAATGATCTGAATCTAGGATTACGGGACTCTCCGCAACTATATTCAATGTGCGGGACAACATTTAGGCTATGATTAAGAAGTTGGAGCTCTTCTCTGTCTGCATTAACAAGGACAACACACGTATTTCCATTTTTGTGTGCAAATGAACTCAAGCTAACGGACAATGTCAAATGTGATATAGCGAAGCACCTGAGTGAGCTGGGTGCGCAATTACACAGGTACTTTCCCGAAACGGACGACACAAACAACTGGATTCAAATCAAATCAAACCAAAGCAGCAGCGTAAAGTGGGGGGGGGGGGGGGGGGGGGGGGGGGAATGCAAATAGTCTGGGTAGCCAATTGATTAGATGTTCAGGAGTCTTATGGCTTGGGGGTAGAAGCTGTTTAGAAGCCTCGTGGACCTAGATTTGGCACTCCGGTACCGCTTGCTGTGCGGTAGCAGAGAGAACAGTCTATGACTGGGGTGCCTTCCTCTGACACCGCCTGGTATAGAGGTCCTGGATGGCAGGAAGCTTGGCCCCAGTGATGTACTGGGCCGTACGCACTAACCTCTGTAGTGCCTTGCAGTCGGATGCCGAGCAGTTGCCATACCAGGCAGTGATGCAACCAGTCAGGATGCTCTCGATGGTGCAGCTGTATAACCAAATCTTTTCAGTCTCCTTAGGGGGAATAGGTTTTGTTGTGCCCTCTTCATGACTGTCTTGGTGTGCTTGGACCATGTTAGTTTGTTGGTGATGTGGACACCAAGGAACTTGAAGCTCTCAACCTGCTCCACTACAGCCCCGGCGTGCTCGGTCCTCTTCTTTTTCCTGTAGTCCACAATCATCTCCTTCGTCTTGATCACGTTGAGGGAGAGGTTGTTGTCCTGGCACCACACGGCCAGGTCTCTGACCTCCTCCCTATAGGCTGTCTCGTCGTTGTCGGTGATCAGGCCTACCACTGTTGTGTCATCTGCAAACTTAATGATGGTGTTGGAGTCGTGCCTGGCCATGCAGTCATGAGTGAACAGGGAGTACAGGAGGGGACTGAGCACGCACCCCTGAGGGGCCCCCATGTTGAGAATCAGTGTGGCGGATATGTGGTTACCTACCCTTACCACCTGGGGGTGGCCCATCAGGAAGTCCAGGATCCAGTTGCTGAGGGAGGTGTTTAGTCCCAGGGTCCTTAGCTTAGTGATGAGGTTTGAGGGCACTATGGTGTTGAACGCTGAGCTGTAGTCAATGAATAGCATTCTCACATAGATGTTCCTTTTGTCCAGGTGTGAAAGGGCAGTGTGGAGCGCAATAGAGATTGCATCATCTGAGGATCTGTTGGGGCGGTATGCTAATTGGAGTGGGTCTAGGGTTTCTGGGATAATGGTGTTGATATGAGCCATGACCAGCCTTTCAAAGCACCTCATGGCAACAGACGTGAGTGCTACGGGTTGGTAGTCATTTAGGCAGGTTACCTTAGTGTTCTTGGGCACAGGGACTATGGTGGTCTGCTTGAAACATGTTGGTATTACAGACTCAGACAGGGAGAGGTTGAAAATGTCAGTGAAGACACCTGCCAGTTGGTCAGCGCGTGCTCGGAGTACACGTCCTGGTAATCCGTCTTGCCCTGCGGCCTTGTGAATGTTGACCTGTTTAAAGGTCTTACTCACATCGGCCGATTCGTTATCCCTTTCATGCCCTGACTCCAGTCCACTTACCGATATCTGAACATGAGATCCTCATCGAAATGGAAACAATTGGTTCTGTGAAAATTGAATTTAAATCAGAAGCCACTGCCAGATTTCTGGATAGGGCTGCGCTCAGAGTATCCTGCCTTGGCAAGTCGCGCTGTTAAGACACTGATGCCCATTGCAACCACGTACCTATGTGAGAGTGGATTCTCTGCCCTCACTAGCATGAACACTAAATACAGGCACAGACTGTGTGTGGAAAATGATTTAAGACTGAGACTCTCTCCAATACAACATTGCAGAATTATGTGCATCCTTTCAAGCACACCCTTCTCATTAACCTGTGGTGAGTTATTCACAATTTGTTATGAACAAATAAAGTTTTCTATGTAAGATGGCTAAAAAAAGAGAGCAAAATTATTGAGTATTATTATATTATTATTTGTGCCCTGGTCCTATAAGAGCTCTTTGTCATTTCCCACGAGCCGGGTTGTGACAAAAACTCAAATTCATTCTTATGTTTAATAAATGTATCGTATAGTGTATAGCAAAAAACAACATTTGAGAGTGCGCTGACCCTGGTGCTAGAGGGGGTACGCAGCTGGAGGTTGAATGTTTGAAGGGGTACGGGACTATAAAAAGTTTGGGAACCACTGCGTTTTGGTTATTGTGTAATTCCAACACTGTCCTGTGTTGATGTGTGTCGTTTGTTTCATGTGCTAAATCCTGTAGAAGAAGAATTGTTACATTCCAAAATGGTGAAAGTCACACTGTGGAGCTGCAGACGTTATCAAACTCCATCCTTCTTGCTATCATTTTGTAGAAGCATTGTCTGTAAGTCAAATTAATCATAACATATTTGGCATTCAATTCATGATGATATGTACGGATGATCGTTTTAATGTGATTTATGAATCTTCTTGATAGCCACATGGATATCTGTTCAGTGCATTTGATCTTGTCATGTTGTGGGGAATTATTTACATCTGATTTAATGCATAATGCTGCATATTTCTGTGTTTATGAACATGTATACAAATACATGCTGTGTTATTATTGAGAATGAAGCCTAGTATCCAGATAGCATACAATAAGTCATACTCATTGTTCTTTTCTTTCTATATTTCAGTTTTACTCATTTTAGTCACTATTATTGTACCTACGAAGCGGTGGCAATAAATCATCCTTCAACACTACAGTAGCTGTACCGGGTTTATCTATCTGCTAAGCTTAAGAAGGGGACTCGTTTGCCTACTGTAATATAAATATGGTATCAAAGCAAGTACTGTGTAATGACACACAGTACAATACCGTAAAATGTACTGTATTACACTGTTTTGTTTTTTTAAATTGTTAAATAAGTGAAATTCATTGAAGGTACGGGTTTGTATTTTACTGTAATAACAAGGGATTGGTACAAGCAGGTTGGCTGCTAGGTAACCTAATGTAGCTGACGAGAAGAAAAAAACTGTTGGGTGAGGTTCTCTTCTGCGCTGTTCAACCAATCCAGTAAATGTGGAGGAGGAGTAACGATGGGAGTGTCGCCTTGTTAACGTCCAAAAGCGGAAGTCTCTTGAGCGTCACAATCTCTCTTTCCATTTCCCCTGAAGACCAGATGCATCCGGTTGTAAACGACCCACTGAGGGTGGCTGCTAGGTAAATTGTTTACACATTACAGTATATTAATGCATATTTGGTGTTTTATATCACTTGCACTTCTAGAGGCCTTAACAAAGGCTTCCAAACTGGCAGCGACTACAGGGCAAAACAGACCAAAAGGACATGGCAAAATGCTCAACCATTTAAGGTTTAAGACTTGCTGCCACTAAAATCTGTCTCCTAGAACATAGGAGTTAAATTGGTACAGTATTTTCAGTCATGGGTGCAACAAATATAGCTTCTTACAAAGTGCAGCTCAAAATATGTTAATGAGCCAGAAACAACAATACCATGCACCCACAACTGGTCAAAAGGTTTTTGGCGCTCCAAAGACACGGTACAGTACTGTATTTTGTGGGGTGGAATTACAGTACCATTCAAAATAATCATAGTCATCAAGTTCATCACATCCCACTGGGCATACACTGGTTGAATCAACGTTGTTTCCACGTCATTTCAATGAAATTACGCTGACCCAACGTGGAATCGATGTTGAATTGACATCTGTGCCCAGTGGAATGGTTACCAGCCTTGTAAAAGGTCCTTGAAGCTTGTTACTCCATCATTCTTTACAATAATAATAGCAATAACAGTAATAGCATTACATTACATTTTTGTAAATACTTCTGGGCTCCCAGTATTTGTTTTGCAATCTTACAAAACAAATACGATATGATACGATATATTTTGTCCATTTACGTAGAAATTCATTTCGTAACGTCAGCATACAAATACACAAACACAACACAATATGTTACATGCAGTATGGAAAACTGGAACGTTAGTACACAAGTCACACATTTACATTTTCACATATTCAACGTCTCTGCGGACTACTGTCCAACCGTGTATTGGGCCTGCATCTGTCCTATGTCCCACTGTTCAGCAGCCTGATGGCTGAATGAAACTTGCCTTGCTCCTATTCTTGCTGAATAGTGGGACCCTTAGGCCTAGATTCAATCAGATCAAGCGTTAACCGGCGATAGCCGACACCCGCATATCTGATGTTTAGGCAGTGTCGGAGGTGTAACTGCATTTGACCTGTCATATCGGTGAGCAGCTGGTCTTGATTATTGTCACAAAGCCACACCCGTCCTACTCACGTTAGAAGTTCAGAACGAGAAAGTATAGGCTATATAGAAATAATGACGCTCAAATTTGAAATCATTCAACAAAATAATGAGGATTTCTATCAGGTGTAGATTACAGCTCACATTCCAGTATTCAAACTTGTACACATGGCCGCATGGGATTTATCTTTATGCGACTCTGTGCAGTCAATGGCAATGTCCGCTTTAGGTATAATGCCAGGAGCTGCTTGTGGATTTGACAGCTCTATCCAGTTCCACCTACTACAGCGCCAAAACAACCGCTATGCAAATGTCTGCTAAAGAGGATCTGATTGAATAGAGCCCTTAATCTCCTTCCGGAGGGAATTGTAAGAGGAGTGAATCTATCATTTATAGAAGCTCCAGTTCCCTATGAAACTTCTGCTTTCCTACTCTGTTTACACTCAAAGAGAAAAAGAACAGGAAGAAAGAGAGGTGGTGAAATTGAAGTCGCAAGTCTGTCACAAGGATAAAGTGTAAGATACAGTGTGAGATACAATGTACTATATAACTGAAAACATAAGTGACATGTTGCTTTACAAATCATCAGGTGTGGGTTTGTGGTTTGATTGAAAGCATCCTGAGGATGTGGTCACCAAGAAAAGTCAGCATTAGCATGGCCAGAATATCTACAATACAACGTTAGCTCCCCTTTAAAGGTGTTGCCGTGAATTTGAAAGCAACTTACAGGCAGCTCAGTGGCAAGTACAATTTTGTATTTCATATTACAGTACACCTACTGTAATATAAATATGGTACCAAAGCAAGTACTGTGTAATGACACACAGTACAATACCGTAAAATGTACTGTATTATACCGTTTAAAAAAAAGATGCTACCGTAATAGGAATTAATGGATGAATGAAATTCATTGAGGGGAGGAGTTTGTATTTCACAGTATTTTACTGTAATGATAAGGGATTAGTGCAAGCGGGTTGGCTGCTAGGTAACCTAACGTAGCTGACAAGAAGAAAAAAAACTGTTGGGGGAGGTTATCTTCTGCGCTGTTCAACCAATCTAGTAAATGTGGAGGAGGAGTTACGATGGGAGTGTCGCCTTGTTAACGTCCAAAAGCGGAAGTCTCTTGAGCGTCACAGGCTCTCTTTCCATTTCCCCTGAAGACCAGATGCATCCGGTTGTAAACAACCCAGTGAGGGTGGCTGCTAGGTAAATTGTTTACACATTACAGTATATTAATGCATATTTGGTGTTTTATATCACTTGCACTTCTAGAGGCCTTAACAAAGTTTTCCAAACTGGCAGCGACTACAGGGCTACAGACCAAAAGGACATGGCAAAATGCTCAACCATTTAAGGTTTAAGACTTGCTGCCACTAAAATCTGTCCCCTATACAATCTGTCTCCTAGAACATAGGAGTTAAATTGGTACAGCATTTTCACTCATGGGTGCAACAAATATAGCTTCTTACAAGGCATGCCTCAAAATATGTTAATGAGCCAGAAACAACAATACCATGCACCACAACTGGTCAAAAGGTTTTTGGCGCTCCAAAGACACGGTACAGTACTGTATTCTGTGGGGTGGAATTACAGTACCATTCAAAATAAAGCAATTATTTCCCCGCCCACAACAATTTACACTATGCTGCAGTAAAACGGTTAGAGTATTTTACTGTTGATAATACCCAAACTTACCGTATAAATTACAGTTTTCCATTACATTGTAGGACTTTAATTATTGAGCTGCTACTGTTCTCTATTGTGCTGCTGGCTCACATTCTTGCACTGCACCATAGACATGTGTGTGATGGCTGTTTCCGAGCAGCCTTTGTCCCTCCCCATCTTTTTCAGATGGTCCTTGATGTACAGGTGGAACCTCCTGGTGGCGAAGCAGTACACTACGGGGTCCAAGAGGCAGTTGAGCCCCATCAGCATCAGGGTGACCTGGTGGGCGTCGTTCAACCACTGCCTGGTCCTCTTGTTCCAGTCTATACTGCCCCATCCCTCCTTGATGTCCAGCACAGCCAGGGTCCAGGGTCCCTGGACCACGTGGTGGGGGAGGAAGCACACCACGAATACCCCCACCACAGCACACAGCATCTGCAGGGCCCGGCCTTTCAGCCCCCTGGGTTTGGAGGAACTGGAGCCCCGAGCCTGGGTAGGGGACTGGGCTAGTAACGCCCGGGCGATGAGCAGATTACACACTACGACGAGGAAGAAGACCAAGACGAAGCATCCCACAATGGTAAGGTGGGTTGCGGCCACAAGCCGCTTCTCGCTGTCCGTCTCGTGGTGGTAGCCCTCGAAGCATCGCAACATGTTGTCCTTGTCAACCTGGATGCCCGTCTCCAAGAGATACGGCACCGACATGGACAGAGTGACCACCCAGATGACCATTGTGACGGCCACCCCACGGCACCAATGGTCGGACGAGGCGGCGTCCAGCGGGCGCGTGACGGCCCAGTAGCGGTTGACGCTGATGGCGGTGAGGAAGAGGACGGAGCAGTAGGTGTTGATGAAGAAGAACACGCCGGTGACACGGCACAGGAATTCGCCGTAGAGCCAGACACCGCCGTGGTGGTAGTAGCCGATCCAGAAGGGGAGGGCGCACACGAAGAGGAGGTCGGCCACAGTCAGGTTGGCCATGTAGATGCAGATCTCGTTCATTGGCTTGGTGTCGCGCAGGCGCCACAGCACGAACAACACGTAACTGTTGGTTATCAGCCCAAGGATGAACACAACACCGTAGAACACTGGGAAGAGGGTGTAGCGGAACTCCGAGTCCAAGAAGGTTCTGTTCCCGACTATCGATACGTTCACTGTCGTGGTCACTGCTAAGTCCTCGGTCATCCCCATGGTCGACTCCACTGTTGGTTTTGCTAAAGCAAGCAACTCCCTCTGTGAGAAAAATACTTCCTATTAGAGTAATATTTCAAGACACTGCAATATTCACTTTAGTACTCATCTTACTGTAGTCAGTAGGAGGACTTTCGACGTGTCTAGTGTCAATCCCAGGTGAGTGGAATAGCTATAGGTCTATCCAGTCTGTGCAAATGTTGATTCATTGAATCATTTACTGTGATAAACACACAAAGTGTGTCAGACACCACCATATTTGAGATTTTCACACCTTACTGTAAATGTAACTGAAATAGAGTTGTTCATATACAAACCATAAAACACACCTATCAACAGTCCGCTATGACACCCACAGGAAGTGTCTTATAACACTTGTGTCACCAGCCTTTTCTGGTCTGCTGTCTAGCAGCAACACTGTGCTCTCTGTTTGTGATGATGACTAATGATTGATGACCATATTTCCAGTCAAATCTAGACTAATGTCTTCCTGCTCTGTCATCAGTATAACAGACAATAACAAGAGGGGTCCTACTTTATATGAACAAAAAATGTGGCTATAAAGGCTTCATAAGCCCTACTTAGTGGCTTAACATCTCATGTATTAGCAAAATAATGAAGTGTATATAAAAGGTGTTATGATATTATATGGAATGACATGATATCTGGACTGATGCTTTGCCTAATGTGGCATAACTGTTTGGCCACCCTAGTGACATTCACTTAGGAATGGGAAGTGAGAGCAAGAGGAAAACGAGGTTGAACTGGAGGTTGAACTGAACTTACCCTGGTCAGTTCAATGGGATTCCCACAATCCGGAGGAACTACCTCACTAAAATCCTTAGGGATGGATATGTCCTGGTTCCAGTAAATCCCACAACCTTTTCCAAGGAAAAGAAGTACAAAGAAATGAAGAAAGAAGAAAGACAAGTCTTAACATGTCAAATATGAACATATTCACACTCAAACTTGAAATTAAAGAGAAAACAGCCCTGTAGGTAACTTCAAAATGAAACGAGACAATCTGGTCTCTTTAGCCTTTTTTATTTTATTTTATTTTAAGAGAATAGAATAACTTTATTTTTCCCAGACGGAACTTCAGTTGTGGCAAGTCCGATCTGATAATTAAATATACATTATACACTAAATAGTACAGTGTACAAAACATTAAGAACACCTGGTCTTTCCATGAAATAGACTGACCAGGTGAAGGCTATGATCCCTTATTGATGTCACTTGTTAAATCCACTTCAATCAGTGTGTGTGTGTGTGTGTGTGGGGGGGGGGTCCAACTCAATATTAGGAAGATATTCCTAATATTGGGTATAGGCCTTGTAAACATACAACAACAATATTCACACATGGTCGACTCCACTATATTGACAATACGGAATTCCAATGCAGCAATTGTTTGCTAGCGGAGGATTACAGGAATGAGGTGCCTAAATTCTGCGCGAATTTATGGGGAAAAAGCTATTTGGAACTTTCTCTTTCTCAACTCCTATGGCTGGACGCTGCTCGGGCCTGATGGATGTTTCCCCGCCTTGTCATCTGTCTCGATCTGAATGGCCTGTGCTACCTGGAACTTGCCTGCCAAGGAAGTCGTCTCCATCTGCTTCGCCTCCTCCATCTTGTAATGAAGTAGACAGAGAACAGCAAGAACATTGTTCCAATCAGCGCTGGTCCCATGTCACAAGACGTGGAAACCGAAGGCAGCGGCATGTTGCTAAGCAGATGGGAGTGACTGCGAGAGGTTCGGAGCAGATTGACATAAGGAATAGCTTTGCTGCACTGGTGCCTTATCTACCTGCACCTTCATCGCTGGGATTGCCTGTGTCTGCGACAGCGGTGCTGACTCCAACTACGCTGACTTCAGCAGCGGCTTCGTTGTCAAGTTCGGCTCCTTTCCCTCTCTCTGGATCTGACGGGGCACTGCCTGCTGTGGGAGGTCTGGATCTATCGCCGTGAGCAGCGGGCGTACACTATCCTGCTTCTCGTGGACCCCTGAAAGGTTAAACTAATTGTGTGAGGGATAGGAATTGGCGGATTTCTTCATTCCCTTCTCCGGCCGTTGTATTGGGCAGTTCAATGGTGAGAAATGTCTCAGTCCATGGAGCAAAAAACGTTGTGCTATCCAGGAGCACGAGTACAGGATATCAATAAGCTGCTCCCAAACATTTTAAACCAGCATCAGGAAATTCAGTCTATCATAGTTCATGTGGGATTCAATGACATTATGAAGGGCAGCTCGGAACAGCTGAAGATGGATTTTAAAGAACTGATTGGGTCACTGCTTGACACTAATGAATGCCCCATACTACCTGGGTTCCTGGATCCTTTCACAGCATTATAAGGCTGCGTTGAGACAATGACTTATCAATGACCCAAGCCCAGCTCAGTTAATCCCTCTCATTGTGTCGCTGAGTTGTCATAATGCTTCAGCAAATGTACATTTTCCCAGGGGCGTTGGAAGACACAATATAAGTAACCTAATTGATGTCCCTCTAACTGCCCTGAATGCCTCTGCTGATTCCACAGCTATTGTATGCAGTAATCATGTGCTTATGAACCAGAGTTATACTGTTAGCACTGAGGCGGTATGCCCTAGTTGGAAGTCCACTGTGTGCAGTTCACCCTGCACTAACATAAATAGCATGAGCATGTCTACTTCTGCTAAGCTTCCCAGTAAAGCAATGAAAACAATCAAGCATCCCAGAAAAGTGCTAAAAATAGCCCACATTAACAAGGTTAATGAAGTAAATATCTTGCTAGTAACAAATGACATTAATATTCTGACTAACTTAGATAATACCTTTGATGATAGTGGTAGCAATATTATGAGTGTTTTTGTTGCGTAGTTTTAGCTCAAGTATAAAGTCTGACACTGGGTGAAAATACAAAATGGCGGATGTGTCTGCACAATGTGCAGTAATGAGCCGGCTAACTACATTCGCAGGGTTGCTGTGAAATTATTTATATGCCGTAACGTAAACTTGTGTTGTCATTAAACTAACTAGCTAGATGGTATGTTACACACTGTTAGCGATGTCTACGTCCCCGTCATTCACCTAGTTAACACTAACTAATGTAGCTAGCTGGATTAGAAGGCTAACACCGCTAATGGCATTAGGTAGCGTAACTAGACGATGCAACTTGTGGGTGGTGCAACATACTTATTTATGGAGTTTATTGGTGTCTTACATTGGTCTGTGATTATTGGTACACATTACACAGAATAGTGAGGTTTATACCGTACAGAATAAAGATAAGTGTAGCTCAGTTGGTAGAGCATGGCGCTTGCAACGCCAGGGTTGTGGGTTCGATTCCCACGGGGGGCCAGTATGAAAGTGTATGCACTCACTAACTGTAAGTCGCGCTGGATAAGCCTATTCCTTTATAGCCTGAATAACCTTTTCAATAAATGTTCAGCAATTTACAGATGTCAAGGTTGAGTGTAGATGTGGTGTGGAATCAAGCGCAAGACACACAGAGGCTTCGTACTGACGTCTTTAGTGAAGACAAAAAGAACAGGCCAAACACGGCTACATACAACCTGGCAGGCAAGCGAACTTTACGCACACCGGTAAAGTGCAAACAAAAGGCACACAAAGTGTGGAACTCTCTTCAAAAACAAAACAGAGAGATAAACGAACTAGCATCCCAAAATGACAACGAACAATTACACACAACACATGACAAAACCCAAGAGAACTTATAGGACGCATAATTAACACTAACAAGGAACAGGTGTAACAAAACAGACAAAACCAAACAAACATCGAAACATAAAACGGTGGCAGCTAGTACTCCGGAGACGACGACCGCCGAAGCCTGCCCGAACAAGGAGGAGGAGCAGCCTCGGCCGAAACCGTGACAACAGAATGCAAAAGAATGTCTCCCATGTGGCGCAGTGGTCTAAGGCATCGCTGTGCCACTAGAGATCCTGGTTCGTGTCCAGGCTCTGTCGCAGCCGGCCGCGACCGGGAGACCCATGGGCAGCGCACAATTGGTCCAGTGTCGTCCAAGGTAGGGGAGGGTTTGGCCGGCAGGGATGTGGGTTCGTTTCCCACGGGGGGCCAGTATAAAAAACAAACATGTCTGCATTCACTAACTGTAAGTCTCTCTGGATAAGAGCGTCTGCTAAATGACAAAAATGTAAAATGTAATGATTATAACATCTACAGAAAAGACAGAAATGCCAATGGGTGTGGTGTTGCGTTCTATATTAACTACCACATTCCAGTAAAGCTTAGAGAGGATCTCATGTTAAATACTGTTGAAGTAATATGGCTACAGGTTCATCTGCCTCACCTAAAGCCCATTATTTTGGGAAGCTGCTATAGACCACCAAGTGCTAACAGTCAGTATCTGGATAATATGTGTGAAATGCTTGATAATGTATGTGATATCAACAGAGATGTATATTTTCTGGGTGATTTCAATATTGACTGGCTTTCATCAAGCTGCCCACTCAAGAAAAAGCTTCACAACTGTAACCAGTGCCTGCAACCCGGTTCAGGTTATCAGTCAACCTATAAGGGTAGTTACAAACAGCACAGGAATGAAATCATGGATCACATGGATCACATCTTTACTAATGCTGCAGAAATTTGCTTTAAAGCAGTATCCAAATCCATCAGATGTAGTGATCACAATATAGTAGCCATATCTAGGAAAACCAAAGTTCCAAAGGCTGGACCTAATATAGTGTATAAGAGGTCATACAAAATGTTTTGTAGTGATTCTTATGTGGATTATGTAAATAATATTTGCTGGTCTGTGGTGTGTAATGAGGAGCAACCAGATGCTGCACTGGACACATTTATGAAATTGCTTATTCCAGTTATGCACCCATTAAGAAAATGACTGTAAAAACTGTTAAATCCCCTTGGATTGATGAGGAATAAAAAAATGGAATGGTTGAGAGAGATGAGGCAAAAGGTATGGCAAATAAGTCTGGCTGCTTAACCGATTGGCAAACGTACAGCAAATTGAAAAAT